TGAATATTCCAATTATTTCCATGCAATCCAATTTCTTACAAATCAATTAATTATATTTACCAATAATAATAAACCAAATAATTTCCCCCATATATTCCTCCAAACCACAACTTAACCATTTCTGCTTTCAACACAATATACAATTAATAATATCTCAATTATTACAATTCCCTAGTTAAATAGAGCTTTTTTTCTTTTGTGTTTTAAAATCTCGAACTCTCCTCTTTTGCCCTAAATTTCCCATTGTTTGCAGTTTTGCACCTACCTTTTTTGGTGAGGAAAAAGAAAAAGAAATCTCTCTCTGCCTCATTTTGTCACGTTGCAGCCATTTACTTTCGCTTTCGCTTTTCAGCATAGCTAGGGAGAAAAAAATCTGCTCCAGGAACAGAGCCCTGCGCAAATCAGCTGAGAGCAAATCAGCTGAGAGTGGGGAAGCCGAGCTAATCGGTCTACTCATTTGTTTTCTTTTAACACTGATCACCTGTAGGGCAGCCCTTTGAAGCCCCGAGGCAAGAGTTTAAACAGTTTTTTTTCCCTCTAGCCATCAGCTGGGACTCAGGAGGCAGAATGAAAAATCGGGACTTTTTTAAAACGCTGCGGGACGCGGGACAAATTGCTAAAAATCGGGACTGTCCCGCCTAAAGCGGGACATCTGGTCACCTTATATGTGAGCCCTTCTCCAGACGAGGCCTAAAATGAGATTTTTTTTAAAAAAAAGTCAAGGAAACAAATGAGTCAACCACAATACATGTAGCTGTCAGGGTTCCCGACGGTAGGTTCCCAAGTGAAGCCAGCTCTGACCCTACGTAATTTACGCCCCAGTCATGACCCTGTTTCCCCGCCCCCCCGCTCCTCCTCCCAGGCTGTGTCATCAATCACATTCGCCAACGGAGCAATTTCGAGGGTTGTAGAGGTCACTCCCCTCCGGCTGCTGAAGGTAATCCTGGGATACAGCCTTGAGAGAGATACGTCTGGAATGTGCATCTGTCTTTGGTTGCCCTGCCATTTCGCTGGTTTCCCATCCACCTTCGCCTATGGCAACTCGAGAGCAGGCCAAGGATGATTTGCGAGTTGGCAGTAGTCCTCAACTTATGACCACAATGGAACCCAAACTTTCTGTTGCCAAGCAAGATAGTGGTAGAATTGAGTTGTGATTCCTTTTATGAACTTTCTTGCTGGACTTGTTAAGTGGATCACCACAGTTATTAAGTGGCTTCCCCATTGGCTTTATCTTGTCCGAAGGTCGCAAAAGGGGATCACACAACCCCGGGATTCCGTAATCGTCATAAATACAAGTCGACTGCTTAAGCGGCCCAATTTTGATCATGTGACCATGAGGATGGTGAAATGGTCATAAGTGTGAAAAAAAACAGTCATAAGTCATGATGACAGATGATGTTACTACCTGTACTGTACAGGTAGTCCTCGACTTACAACCACTCGTTTAGTGACCATTCAAATAACGGCGATGACAAAAGTCACAACCGATTTTCATATTTACGGCCGTTGTAACATCTCCATGGTGATGCAATCCAAATTTGGACGCCTGACAGCTGGTTCCTATTTATGACGCTTCCAGGATCCCGAGATCACGTGATCCCCTTTTTACGACCTCCTGACAAGCAAAGTCAAGGGGAAGCCAGATTCACTTAACAACCTTGTGACCAATTTAACGTCTGCAGTGATTCACTTAACACTTAAGCGCGGCGAGACAGGTCGTAAAACGGGGGCAAAACCCATCTAAGAAACGTCTTGCTTAACGATGGAAATTTGGGGCTCCGTTGCGGCCGTAAGGGGAGGACTCCCTGTACTTAAATCTACCCGCAGCCGATGCATGTCAGGACAGTCATGAATTTGGCATGTGAAAAGCTTGCCAAGGAAATTTCATTTTGGGAACATCGTCCCCCAGATTTATGTAGATACTTGATGTTCTGAAAAAGTATTTTGTGTGTCTGATTAAATATTTTGGTTACATTTCCGTCTACCCCACCTTGCTGCTTCTATTAATAGGAGAGATCGCTTAGAAAAGGGAAACCGGCGAAGCTTGTATCCGGCTGGGTCTAATTCAGAAAAAAAAAAAGAAAAACTGGAATATCGAGATCTATCCTGATCTGTGGATTAACGATTGGGCAGCTCTTATGCCGAGCATGTTAATAATATTTGCCTTAATGGGAGGTGTAGGAGATCTTAATATATTGGAACCTGATACCTTTTGGATTTTGAATTCGGCTCATTCCTCCTTGGTGACAGGTAGTCCTCGATTTACGACCACAGTGGACTTACGACCACATTTCTGTTGCTAAGAGAAACGCTTGTTGCTAAGTGAAACACTTCTGCCCCATTTTGTGACCTTTCAGTGTTACAAGGACACTGAGAAAAGTGACTTGTGACCTTTTTTTCACACTTACGACCGTTGCAACATGATCAAAATTCAGAACGCTTGGCAACCGACTCATATTTATGACAGTCGCAGTGCCCCGGGGTCATGCGATCCCCTTTTGCGACCTTCTGACAAGCAAAGTCAATGGGGAAATTAGATTCACTTAACAACTTGTGTGAGGTAACTTAACAACGGCAGTGATTCACGTAACAGCTCTGGCAAGAATGGTCGTAAAGTAAGGCAAAACTCACATAACCGTCTTGGTTACCGACGGTAATTTGGGGCTCAATTGTTGTAAGCTGAGGACTATCTGTAAAAGGAATACTACAGTCACATTCTGTGGCAGGGGTGGAGAACGGCCCCTTTATGACTTGTGGACTTCAACTCCCAGAATTCCTGAGCCAACCAATGTTAATGCTGGCTCAGGAATTCTGGGAGTTGAAGTCCACAAGTCATAAAGGGGCCATCATTCCCCATGCTGGCCCAGGAATTCTGGGAGTTTAAGTCCAAAAGTCATAAAAGGGCCATCATTGGTTTGGTAGAGTAGCTTTATGTAAAATGATGTTACTTCCTAAATTTAACTTTTTATTCGAGATGCTTCCGATTTTTTTAACCAAGAAGGACATTGAAGTATATCAAAAAAAATTAGATAAATTTTGTAATGGGGATACAAAACCAAGACTGATTAAGAAAATGTGGTATCAGAACCAAAAACAAGGTGGTTTAGGAATTCCAAAATTATTAAACTATTATAGAGCATTTAATATAAAAACAGTAGTAAAAATTTTAAAAGGAGATGTTAAACTTTGGGGTAATTTGGAAATGAAGGAAATAAAGAAGTTTGGTTACAAATGGTTTTTGGAAAATTTTAAAGGTAAGGTTAAAATTTGTAATTATTGGTTAAATAGTTTTTTTTTTTTTTTTTTAATTTGATTTATATGCCGCCCTTCTCCGGAGACTCAGGGCGGCTTACAATGTGCTCAGCAATAGCCTTCATACTTTTGTATATTTATACGAAGTCAGCTTATTGCCCCCATAACTGGGTCCTCAATTTACCTACCTTAGAAAGGATGGAAGGCTGAGTCAACCTTGAGCCTTGGAGAGATTCGAACCAGCAGAAATTTTAGTTTGACTAAAAATTGGGACAGAGTAGCAAAAACATTAATACCAGACGCATTGTATTTAGGTAAACTGAAAGAGAATTGCCCAATGAAATTAAATAGTAACAGAGAGAGGAATATAATAGAAGAGAAAGTGGAAACAATTGTTCCCCATGCTGGCTCATGAATTGTGGGAGTTGAAGTCCAAAAGTCATAAAACGGCCATCGTTCCCCATCCTTCGTCTATGGGTTAATATATATAAACATTTAGAACTTAATCATCGTGAAATGGAAGAAAGCATCCCTGCATGTTTAAATATATTAGGATAAAGAATGAATTATTAAATATTAAAAGTTAATATATATGATTAAAAATGGAGAAAATAGAATTTGAGGGCGAAAGAAGATACCGTTTATAGAAATAAGAATAGAAATATTAATTACTACATATCCAAAATTTAATCTTACATAAAATATATCAGTTATATCATCATTTAAGTATTTTGACATTTCCTTACATATCACCATTTTTTGTTATCTACCCAGTGGTAAAATAAATCCCATATCAAATAATATTGTTTTTCTTCCCGCTCTCTTATTTCAAATGTCAATTTGCTCATTTCGGCACAGTCCAACATTTTCCTAATAATTTCTTCATCCGAAGGTATCATTTCTTCTTTCCAATTTTTAGCACGTAGTAATACTTGCCTTGATAGTACAGTGGTTTAAAGCACCCTGTTATTAACACAGCTGCCTGCAATTACTGCAGGTTCAAATCTTACCAGGCTCAAGGTTGACTCAGCCTTCCATCCTTTCTAAGGTAGGTTAAATGAGAACCCAGTTTGTGGGGGCAATAAGCTGACTTTGTATAAATATATAAAAAGTATGAAGGCTATTGCTTAACGCATTGTAAGCCACCCTGAGTCTCTGGAGAAGGGCGGCATATAAATCAAATTAATATATATATATGTAGGTCTTTGGTTAGAAAACACACACACACACACACACACACACACACACACACACACACACACACACATATATATATATATATATATATATATATATATATATATATATATATAATGAAAAGAGGAGAGGGCACCAGGCATGCAACCCGACCGATGTACTATCTGTACTTGATTGAATGAATGATGTCTTATTTTTTTTACTTTTTATTTTTTTTTTGTTTTAAAATAAAATAAAAATGATTTGGGAAAAAAAAAAGAATAGAAATATTAAAAGTTTGATTAACAATATGGAAAAAGAACACTTTGGCAGAAATTGTAAGTAAGTAAAATATATTTGGATATGATAAGTTGTATATGATATGATAAGGTCAATACTCTGTTTCATAAAATATGTGGGTGTGTTATTAGGGGGGGAAAAAAAACCAATAAAACTTGATTAAAAAAAAAAAGAACTTAGTCATCGTATGTTACATTACATGTATGAATGACATGAAGGAGTGAGGCTTGACCCAATCTAGTCGCCCTTAACGTTCTTCTCTCCCGCAACAGACACTGGATCGCCAGGGAGTATGTCTGGATCGTGGTGTCATACATGACCTATGATATCTACGTCATGTATCTTTGCCACTGGCACAAGACTCAAGACAAAGGGCCAGCAGACGGGAAGAACTTCTGGGAGAACCTCCGAAGCTTTCTTCAGAAGGAACGGCTGATGGTCACCCACCACCTCTTCATCCTCCTCGTCTTAACGCCGGTCGCTGTGGTGAGGCCACCTCCTGAGGGCCAAAGGGTGCTCAAGCTATAGGTCTGATGTGGCCATCCGTGTTCTTGTGAGGGAAGTCCATGGAAAACAACGTGATTCCTAGTTGTTGTTGTTGTTTTTTTTAAAAAAAATCTAAACACAGTTAGTCCTCGACTTACGACCACAATTGAGCCCCCAACTTTCTGCCGTTAAGTGAGACACTTGTGAAGTGAGCTTTTGCCCATTTTTACGACCTTTCTTGCCACAGTTGTTAAGCGAATTGGGCTTTCCCTATTGACTTTGCTTGTCAGAAGGTCGCAAAAGGGGAACATGTGACCCGCCCAAGGATGCTGCAACGGTCATAAATATGAGTCAGTTGCCAAACATCTGAATTTTCATCACGTGACCATGGGGAGGCCGTCATGGTCTCAAGTGTGAAAACTGGTCAGAAGTCACTTTTTTTCCATGCTGTTGTAACTTCAAACGGTCGCTAAATGAACTGTTGTAAGTCGAAGGCTACCTGTGGAGTCAGTCCTTGACTTACGACCGCAATTGCGACTGGGATTTTGGTCACTAAGTGACGTGGTCGTTAAGCGAGTCATCCCATGATCATTTTTTTTCACGAATGTTTTGCCGTGGCCATTGAGCAAATTGGCGTGGTCGTTAAGCGAATCCGACGTCCCCGTGGATTTGGCTTGTCGGAAGGTTGCAAAAGGGAATGACTTGACTCCCAGGGACACTGCAACCGTTATAAATATGAAACCAGTTGCCAAGCCTCTGAATTTTGATCGCGTGACCATGTGAATGCTGCCATGGTCATAAGTGCGAAAAACTGTCATAACGCACGTTTTTCAGTGCCATTCAGAGGTGAAATGCTCCCGGTTCGGACTGATCTGGTAGTGATGGCGGCGGATGGTTCGGAGAACCAGTAGCAAAAATCCCTGCCCCCCCCACCCCCCCGCATGCCCAGCTGAGCCGCAGGATCATCAGAGGCTTTTTTTTTTTACTTTTAAAAGCATTTTTTCTACAACCTCTTCGGCTGAAAAAATGCTTTTAAAAGTTAAAAAAAAAAAAAAGCCTCTGATGATCGCGCGGCTCAGCTGGGATCGTCAGAGGCTTTAAAAAGCATTTTTTTTTCTGCAACCTCTTGGCCGAAGAGGTGGTTAAAAAAAATGCTTTGAAAAGCCTCTGACGATCCCAGCTGAGTTGCCTGATCGGCCGAGAGGCTTTTCAAAGCATTAGAAAAAATGCTTTGAAAAGTTTAAAAAAAAAAAAAAAGTTGGCCACGCCCACCCAGTCACATTACACCCCCCCAAGCCACGCCCACAGAACCGGTAGCAACAAATTTTACATTTCACCCCCGGTCGCTAAATGAATGGTTGTAAATCGAGGACTGCCTGCCGTTTTCTTTGAAATTAATTCATTACGACGAACCTGGAATCCTTAAATCCATTAAAGACTCCCGCACGAGATCGATACGAGATCGTCTCAAAACAGATCAGACAACACCTGGATGGACAGATGTTTCCAAAGCTCTCGGTTTTTTTTTGAAATGCTCGGGAAATGCGGCCCAACCACTTCTCTAATGCTGCAGGCGGACATTCCACCTGTGAAGCTTGCGTTCTCCCGATGGACATCAAAGGCACGTCCGGTTCGCCTTGGGGTTTTTTTTGGGAGGGCGTTGTGTAATCTTTTGCCGGATCAAGGCCAGCCTTCCCTGGCACGCACAAGTCTCGGGGCTCCTTGATAAGACGATCCGGCGTCTCTCTGTGCCCCATCGGTGGGTTTTTCAAGATCCGACAGGTAATCCTGGGTTTGATTCCCGGCCAAGTTTTTTTTCTTGGGTTCCTGAGCCGGGAATTGAGCCACCTTCCTTTGGCCGCGAAGGTCGTGGTTGCGCCAAGGCTGCTAAATAGCTGTGCCGCCTATGAGTGTGTCTGGGCACCCGTGTGCCCACGGGGTCAGGGAACCCAAAAAGGGCTCACAGGCCTTGAAGCTAGTTGGGAGGTGAGGCTGAAAAACATTTTGCATCCCATCCGTGGCTCTAAAACATCCTTCCCCCTGGACCCTCCCTCTCTCTCTCTCTCTCTCCCTCTCTCTTCCACTCTCTCTTTCACTCTCTCCCTCGCTCACACTTTCTCCCTCCTTTCCCCTCTTTCTCACTCTCCCCCATTCTTCCTCTCTCTCTTCCTCTCTCTTTTCCTCTCCCTCCTTTTCTCCCTCTCCCTCCCTCCCCCTCTCCCTCCCTCTCCCTTCCTTCCTCTCTCCCTCCCTCTTCCCCTTTCTCACTCCCCCATTTTTTCCTCTCTCTCTTCCTCTCTCTTTTCCTCTCCCTCCTTTTCTCCCTCCCTCCTTCTTCTCTCCCTCTCTCCCTCTCCCTCCCTTCCCCTCTCTCTCCCTTTTCGTCTCCCTCCCTCCTTCTCCCCCATCCTCTCCCCCTCCCTCTCTTCCCCTCTTCCTTTTTCTCTCTCCTTCTTCCCTCCTCTTTCTCCCCCTCCCCGCTCTTCCTCTCTCTCCCTCTCTCTCCCTTCTCTTCTTCCCTCCCTCTTCCTCTCTCCCTCCCTCCTTCCCCCCCTCCCTCCCCTCTCCCCTCTCCCTCCCTTCCTCTCCACTCTTCCTCTTTCTCCCTCCCTCCCTCCCTCTCTTTCTCTACAGCATCTGCGAGGTGAACTCGGAGATTTTTTTCGTGGGCTGCATCTTCACTGCTGAGCTCAGCACCCCATTTGTATCCCTGGGGAAGATCCTGATGCAGGTGAGCATGTCAGACCTGAGACCTCCCTATATTATTATTATTATTATTATTATTATTATTATTATTATTATTATTATTTCTCACTCTCCCCTATTCTTCCTTTCTCCCTCCCCCATTCTTCCTCCCTCCCTCTCCCCCCTCTCCCATCTCTTCATCTTTCTCTCTCTTTCCCTCTGTCCCTCTCTTCCTCTCTCTTTCCCTCCTTCCCCTCTTCCTCTTTCTGTCTCCACCTCATCCTCTCCCACTCCCTCTCTTCCCCTCTTCCTTTTTCTCTCTCCTTCTTCCCTTCTCTTTCTCACTCTCCCCGTTCTTCCTCTCTCTCCCTCTCTCTCCCTTCTCTTCTTCCCTCCCTCTTCCTCTCTCCCTCCCTCCTTCCCCCCTCCCTCCCCTCTCCCCTCTCCCTCCCTTCCTCTCCACTCTTCCTCTTTCTCCCTCCCTCCCTCCCTCTCTTTCTCTACAGCATCTGCGAGGTGAACTCGGAGATTTTTTCGTGGGCTGCATCTTCACTGCTGAGCTCAGCACCCCATTTGTATCCCTGGGGAAGATCCTGATGCAGGTGAGCATGTCAGACCTGAGACCTCCCTATATTTTATTATTATTATTATTATTATTATTATTATTATTATTATTATTATTATTATTATTATTATTATTTAGCCTCGGTGGTGCAGCGGACTAAAGTGCTGTTAAGTGCTAGCACTTAGCTGCCAGCTGCCTGCAATTAGTGCAAGTTTGAATCTCACCAGGCTCAAGGTTGACTCAGCCTTCCATCCTTTCGATGTAGGTAAACTGAGGACCCAGATTGTGGGGGCAATAAGCCGACTTTGGGGGGGGCCGAAAGCCCTAATAAGCAGGTATATACAAAAAAGTATGCAGGCTACTGCTATAATGCATTGTAAGCTGCCCTGAGTCTACGGAGAAGGGCGGCCTATAAATTGGATAAATAAATAAATAAATAGATAAATAATGATGATGATGATGATGATGAACTTTAGATGCCGCCCATCTCACCTCGCAAAGCGACTCTGGGCGCCTTTCAGTTAGAATGCTAAATCCTGGTAGTCCTTGACTTTCGGCCCCAAATTTCCTTTCCTAAGCAAGGCAGCTGTTAAGTGAGCTTCGCCTCGTATTACGACCTTTTTTTCCCCCCCCCCCGTGGTTGTTAAGCGAATTGCTGCAGTTGTTAAGTGAATCATGCAATCATTTAGGGAAATCTGGCTTCCGCCGTTGCAGGGGTGTCAAACTCGATTTCATTGAGGGCCACATCAGGGTTTTGTTTGACCTCAGCACATTGTGTGGGCGTGGCCAGAGTGGGCATGGTCCCATTTCCCGCACGCAGCCCCCCCCCCTCCGAGCTCCATTTTTGCTGGCAGAGGGCTGCAGGAGGCTATCCTGGTTGAAAACAGAGCCTGGGAGGGTCACGTGTGACAGCCTAGCGGGCCATGACCAGGGGTGAAATGTTCCCGGTTCGGACCGGATCACCTGATCCGGTAGCGATGGTAGCGGGTGGTTCAGAGAACCGGTAGCAAAAATCCCTGCGCCTCCTCCCCATGCCCAGCTGAGCCGCACGATCATCAGAGGCTTTTTTTTTTTTACTTTTCAAAGCATTTTTTCTACAACCTCTTCCAATGAAAAAATGCTTTTAAAAGTAAAAAACAAAACAAAAAAAACCCAGCCTCTGATGATCGCGTGGCTCAGCTGGGATCATCAGAGGCTTTTCAAAGCATTTTTTTCTGCAACCTCTTGGCCGAAGAGGTGGTAAAAGAAATGCTTTGAAAAGTCTCTGACGAACCCAGCTGAGTTTCCTGATCGGCAGAGACGCATTTTTTAAAAACCCTCTCTGAGGATCCCAGCTGAGTTGCCTGATCGGCAGAGGCTTTTCAAAGCATTAGCAAAATGCTTTTAAAAGTTAAAAAAAAAAAAGCCTCTGATGATTGCACGGCTCAGCTGGGATCGTCAGAGGCTTTTCAAAGCATTTTTTTCTGCAACCTCTTGGCCGAAGAGTTGGTAAAAGAAATGCTTTGAAAAGTCTCTGACGAATCCCAGCTGAGTTGCCTGATCGGCAGAGGCTTTTCAAAGCATTAGAAAAAAATGCTTTGAAAAGTTTAAAAAAAAAAAAAAGTTGGCCACACCCACCCAGTCACATTACCCCCCCAACCAAGCCACGCCCACAGAACTGGTAGTAACAAATTTTACATTTCACCCCTGGCCACGAGCTCTGTTTTAGCTAGTAGATGCACCGCGGGCTAGTCCTTCGTTGATTCCAGGGTGGCCCCACGGCCCAGATCTAAGCACCCCGTGGGCCTTGAGTTTGACACCTCTGAGTCAGTGGTGAAATCCAAATTTTTTTACTACCGGTTCTGTGGGCGTGGCTTGGTGCGCGTGGTGTGGCTTGGTAGGCGTGGCAGGGGAAGGATACTGCAAAATCTCCAATCCCACACCACTCCAGGGGAAGGATATTGCAAAATCCCCATTCCCTCCCCACTCTGAGCCCAGCCAGAGGTGGTATTTGCCGGTTCTCCAAACTACTCAAAATTTCCGCTACCAGTTCTCCAGAACCTGTTGGATTTCACCCTTGCCCTGTCCTTGTCAGAAGCTGACAGGGAAACATTACAAACGGTGGTCACTTTACAACTTAGTAGTAAGTTTATTTATTAAATTTATTTATTATTTATTTATTAAATTTATATGCCGCCCCTCTCCGGAGACTCAGGGCGGCTCAAGTTGCCTAACTACTGTGGCAAAAACGGTCATAAAATGAGGTGCAATTCACTTAACAACTTCCTTGCTTAGCAGTGGAAATTTTGGGCTCGATTATGGTCATAAGTCGAGGACTACCTGTGGTAGAATTTTGGAAGCCCGCTACAGTAGTCCTTGACTTACAGCAGTTCATTTAGCGACCGTTCAAACTTACGACCCCACTAAAAAAGTGACTTACGACTGTTTTTCACACTTATGACTATTGCAGCATCCCTGTGGTTGGCTATACGATCAAAATTCAGACATAACTGACTCATATTTATGACGGTTGCAGTATCTTGGGGTCATGTGATTCCCCTTATGTGACCTTCTGACAAGCAAAGTCCACGGGGAAGCCGGATTCACTTAACAACCAGGTTACTAACTTAACAACTATAGTGATTCACTTAACAAGAAAGGTTGTAAAATGAGACAAAACTCACTTAACAACTTGTCGAGCGAAATGTTGGGCTCGATTGGGGTTGTAAGTCGAGGACTACCTGTACTAATTCTGAAAAGGAAGAAAGTCAGAACGCAAATCGTACAGAGATGCAGCAGGCCCCCTCCTGCCTGATGTGGGAATTAAAGGAGCAGCTGCTGGAATTTCTCCCAGCTTTGATCTTTTTAATCTGTGGGTCAGCACTTGCCTCTCCTTTAACCTTCTCAACGTTTTCTTCTTTTGGTGGTTGTTGACAGCTGAAAATGCAAGATTCCCTCCTGCATAAGATCAACGGGATTCTCATCCTGGTTACCTTCTTCCTTTGCCGGATCCTCCTCTTCCCATTCATGTACTGGGCCTACGGGCAACAGATGAACATACCTATCTATGAGGTGCCCTTTCGCATCCCTCTGCATTGCAACGTGGCCAACGCCTTCTTAATCGCGCCCCAGATCTACTGGTTTAGCCTCATCTGCCGCAAAGCAATGAGGCTCTACAGCAGTTCTCCAGCACCAGATCGAACGCGATAGCAAAAAACGGCTAAACATTCCCTTTGGAACCAACCTGCCTCACTTTAACAGATTGGGGGATTTGGGGGAGGCGCCATTTTGCAACTGGCTGCCGTTCTTCCCAGCCGAGATGGAGAATCGCGAATCACCTCCACGGAGGTGCCTTCGTGGTCGCCAAACAATCACGAGCCTGGAGGCTGTATGCTTTCCAAGCCTCCCCGTATCCGTGCCCAGTGACTGCAGCGGTGTTCCAGATGTGTTCCAGATGTTGAAAGTGGAAACTGAGACTTGTGGCTGGCCAGCCTTGGAGGCCGTGAAAATTCTACAAATCTCATCTTTTGCCCTGAGATTTTCAGTTGGCAGTTTAGGGCAATGAGGTCAAAGAACATCACACAGCTTGATCTACACGTCCTTCTTTGATTATCCCTCGTCGGAGTGTGTCCTGATCTTTTCATTTCCTCACCTTGAAAAATTGCCGGCCTTCTAAACCAAGGGTGTCAAACTGGTGGCCCACGGACCGGATACGTCACGCGCAGGCCACGCCCACCCCAGCTCTGTGAAGGGAAAAAAAATGTCGTGAAACATCATGTGATGGCAACATGACGCAGCGAGTTTGACGCCCATGTTCTAAACCTTCTTCCATATGCTCCCTGTTGGGCCAGTTTGCTGTTGGTGAAATATGGATAGCCTTATTTGGACGTCTTGATGGCCACCTTGATTTTACTGAAAGTGCCGAGGGATTGCTCCTGGAAAATTTTAGCATCCCTTTTGATTTTTGTTAAAAATATATCTCAACGTTCTTGTGCTTCTTCTTCGTATGGATAGCCATGCCCAGCAAAATAACGGAAGCTGGAGAGAATTGGGATCGCCCTTGTCCCAAATCGTGGAAAGATTCTCACTTCGAACAGACAATATTGTACAATGTTGTATTTTTTGCACATTCCAAGTTTCCTTTCAATGCACAAGATGGAAAACTTGGCCGACGTCAAGGTCATTTCGGAACAGGTGCCAACCTTTGAGGCGGATAACTGGATCGTGATTCAAGAAGATAAGGTTCAAGAAGAGAATTTTTGGTGCTCCGTGTGTGTGAGACGCACGTAAAAATCAATGAGGCTTCAACAATGGCGTTCCCACTGCCATCTTGATTTTTTTATGACTTTGCAGATATTCAACAGAGAAAGGAGGGAAAATTGAGAGAGTGAAGATGAATCAGAAGTTGCTGAGGATGGACCAAACCAGCTGTTCAGATTTGGAAGGATTCTCGTAAGATCTGACTTGGCTCCCAAACATGACAAACCCTCTGTGGTTAAATCAACTATTCCTTTATTAGGAGCGCCAGCAGCTCTGGCAAAAGGTTTCTCTCTCACAGCAGACTATCAATGGCTGACCGACAGAGAGATAAATACTTGTCTGCTACACCTATTCATCTCTGCCCCCTGCCTTTTATCCCCAGAGATAGGATGGGGCTTCGCTAGCAGCGGTGGGCTCTTCTGTCCCAAGGACCAGCCCATAGATTTCCACTGCTCTCCTCTCTTCTGCCTTCTGTGCATCCGCGCGTCAGGCACTGGACCCAGCTGTTCCTCCTCTTCCTCATCAGCCACCTGGGGGCTGTTGACTCTCCATCTGAGGGCTGATGGACAGTTCAGCCTGTCTTTCTCTCTCTGCCAGCTCCAATCCCTCTTTCCCCTCGGAGCTCTCAGGTTGCCTTGATGCTGACCCTGACTCCTCACCTGATTCGGCTGCTGGAGAGGCCGGTGGCCAACAGGCCACAACAGATTCTTTTTTGCCTTGTGGTTCTAACTCTGGTCCCCAGAAGTCTGTTGGATGAGCAAATCAGGATCACGCACGAGAGGCCAATTCACTGGTACCACAAACAGGCCAGATTTCTTATCGGTAGCCAAATTCAGTGAGGAGGTAGCTGCCAAATTCAGTGGCAGCTACCTCCTCAACTTGGCCTAAGCCAGGCCCAACAAGAAAAATCCATGGGAAAATAGAGTTTGTATAGAGTGAGATCTAGGACAACTTGTCCCAGCCTATTCGCCGCAGGACAGCAATTACACTAATAGCAAGGCAATGGTGGAACAGAATGATTAAAGCAAGGATGCTAAAGGAGGGACACAATGAAATAAGAACAAACAAATAGGAGCCTGGATAGCTCAACAGACAGAGCACTATAATTTAACACCAGCTGTCTGCAATTAAAGTAAGATCGAATCTCGCCAGGCTCAAGGTTGACTCAGCCTTCCATCCTTTCTAAGGTAGGTAAATTGAGGACCCAGTTTATGGGGGCAATAAGCTGACTTTGTATAAATATTCCAAAGTATGAAGGCTATTGCTTAACGCACTGTAAGCCGCCCTGAGTCTCCGGAGAAGGGCGGCATATAAATCAAATTAAAACAAAACCAAAAAAAAGAACGAGAACAATTTGAACAGTGTTGAAGAATCCGTGGCGTTGAGTTATCCTGTGTTGAATTGACCCAGGACGAGTTTTCTGGAAGCGAATTGGCTGTGGCAAGTTGTCCTGCAACAAGCTAGCTGTGGCGAATTGGCCACGAAAAGTTGGCCACAGTTGAGTTGTCCCATACTATATAGAGAGTCCTTATTTCCATTCAACTTTGGAAAGATACCGTGTTTCCCCCAAAATATGACCTACTCCGAAAGTAAGTCCTAGCTTGATTTTTTTTACATGTGCACCCAATATAAGCCCTAACCCCCCAAAATAAGCCCTAGTTAAGAGCCCACCCACACCAGGGTGGACAGTGTCATAAAAATATCCCAGTAAAAGAAACAGGAGACAGCAATGATAGTTTCCATATATTTCCATATGCATCTCAAAACCTCTATCCATCTGCTACTTTCCGTTCTCTATTTCTCTCGGTTTCATCCTTCTATGTCCAAATATATATTTTAAAACGACATACTTTGCAAAGTCACGTGTCGCAGCAACAGCTCAGTGGGATTACAAATAGCTCTGATACAGTTTGCAATCTTTCTATCTAAAACTTTGCTTCGTGTCGTTTTTTAGGGCCTGCTGCTATCCTTCTGAGAACTATGGACTCTGGTAGCCCAATAGGCTATTTGTCCCTTTTTCTCACAACAGGTGAAAATTAAACTTGGCTGGGGATGGTGGGGGTAGTGCTGCCCTACTACTTACCTTCGGATAGTTGCAGCTACCCTGTTTCCCCGAAAATAAGCTACCCAACCAGAAAATAAGCCCTAGCATGATTTTTCAGGATGCTCGTAATGTAAACCCTCTTGTTGTGACCCAGGCCGAAGTAGGTATTATCAAACGCAGTCAGCTCGAAAACAAACAGACTTTATTAGAACAGCTGAGAATTAACTCATTCTCAGCGTAGTCCAAACTAAATTAAAGCAAATTCTTCATAACACAAATTCTTCAGTCTAATCACCAACCTTGGTATAATTAGGCAACCTGCCAAAGGCTTTTCTCGGCAAAAGTTCAGGAGCAGAAGACGCCAACAAGAAATAAATGCAGCAAGACAAGAAACAAATCTATCAACGTTGTTTTCCGACAAAGAGCCAAGAGTCGTTGCCGGTCTTTTAAGCCTTATGGGGCCAATCATCTCCTGGCCTTACTCCTGAGTCGTCCTTTTTGCTTTAGCTGCTCCTGCCTTCTGGCAGCTCTTCTCATACGTGCACTAGGAACAGGCTCCTCCTGTTCCTCTGCCTCATTCCTGTCAGTCTTTGGAGGCTCTGGAGTCCACACATCACACCCCGATGGCCCTGGCTCCATCTCTGCCTCCGACGCAGAGCCCTCATCCGGGCCTTCCCCAGCCTCCAGGACTGGCCCATGTTTTTCCTCAGCCTCCTCACTGTCCGACTCCACTGCTCCGCAGGCTGCTGGCAGACCACAACACCTACCCCCAAAATAAGCCCCAGTTAAGCCCCAGTCAGTATTTTCCCCCCAAATAAGACCTAACCAGAAAATAAGCCCTAATGTGTCTTTTGGTGCAAAAATTAATATATGACCTGGTCTTATTTTCAGGGAAACGCAGTAGGCCTCGCACATCTCGGCCCATTTCCTTTGCTGCAGCCAGCAAGACTTTCCTGAAGGCCTCTGTAGCCGATAACAGAGCTCCGGATCAATTGTGGATGACATCCCCCCTGAAAATAAGACCTGGTGCCTTTTTTGGGTGGCAAAATAAATAAATAAATAAGACAGGGTCGTATTTTTGGGAAAACACGGTAGGGCACTGCTCCCTCAAGGTCGTGTTTCTGGGGCGGGGGAGAACAGAGAGAACTTTTCCAAACATTGGCGGTGGAAACAACAAATCGATAGGACTTGACGAGGAGGAGAAAGCTGAAACATTAGTCTGGATATTTGCTACTACCGATAGTCCTCGATTTAACAACACTTCGTTTAGTAACCGTTCAATGTTACAACGGCACTGAAAAAAAAGCGACATACAACCGTTTTTCACACTATTGCAGCATCCCGCGCGGTCACCCGATCAAAATTCAGACGCTTGGCCACTGACTCGTATTTATGACGGCCGCAGGGTCCCGTCCTCCCCTGCTTTTGCGAACGTCTGACCAGCAAAGTCGACGAGGAAGCCGGAATTCACTTAATGACTGTGTGATTAACTTAACAACTACAGCGATTCACCGAACAACCGTGGCAAGAAAGGTCATAAAACGGGGGAGGGGGGAACTCACTTAACGACAGTCTCGCTTAGCAGTGGGAATTTGGGGCTTCGTTGTGGTTATAAGACGAAGACTTAAACTGTATACAGTTCCATCTATGCGGCTGGAAATGTTTAAAATGGCCCTTTTTTGAGTCGGGGGGGATTTGAATATTTACGGTAGGGTTAGAATGGCCGTCTCGGGCCTAAAATGCTGTGTTTTGAGTCTGAAACGTTATCAGATTGGGAAAATTTTGCCCAAGAGTGTGTCTCCATGCTGGCTGGCTGGGGAATTCTGGGAGTTGAAGTCCACCCATCTTAAAATGGCTGAGATCGAGAAACGCTGTAGGCTAAAGAAAAAAACTTGTTAAAGTTTTGAAGATGAGATGTGGTGTACAAGTACAAGCTACAGGCACTCTCTCATCCTCACTCACTACCTTTCTCCTCTCCTTCCTCTCCCCTTCCTTCTTCCCTCCATCTCCTCCTCCCCTTTCTTCCCTTCTCTTCCTTCTCCTTTTTCCTGCTCCTTCCTTCCCTTCTCCCCTCCCTCCCTTCTCTCCTTCCCTCCATTGCTCTCTCCTTCCTCCTTCTCTTCCTTCCTTCCTCCCCTCCCCTTCTCTTCCTTCTCCTTTTTCCTTCTCTTTTTCCTCCCTCCCTCTCCTGCTCCTTCCTTCCCTTCTCCCCTCCCTCCCTCCCTTCTCTCCTTCCTTCCTCCTTACCTCCCTGTTGCTCTTTCCTTCCTCATTTCTCCTTCTCATCCATCCTTCCCCTCCCCCCTCTCCTTTATTCCGTCTTCTCCTTTCTCCCTTCTCCTCCCCTTCCTTCTCCTCCTTTTCCTTGTGTAGCAGTGGAAATGTTGGGTTTAATTGTGGTCATAAGTCAAGAACTCCTCTGCTGCCACCCCCCCACCGTCCTTTCTTCTCTTCCTTCTTCCTTCCCTTTCCTTCTCTCTTTCCTTCCTTCCTTCCTTCCTCCCTTCCTTTCCTTCTCTCCCTTCCCTTCTCTTTTCCTTTCGTTTCTTTCTCTTCCCTCCCTTCCCTTCTCCTTTCCTTTCCTTCTCTTCCCTTGCTTTCCCTCTTCCTTTCCTTTTCCTTTCCTTCCCTCTTCCTTTCCTTCCCTCTTTTCCTTTCCTTTCCTTCTCTCCCTTCCCTTTTCCTTTCCTTTCCTTCTCTTCCCTTGCCTTCCCTCTTCCTTTCCTTTCCTTTCCTTCCCTCTTTTCCTTTCCTTTCCTTCCCTCCCTTCCCTTCTCTTTTCCTTTCCTTTCCTTCTCTTCCCTTGCCTTCCCTCTTCCTTTCCTTTCCTTTCCTTCCTTCCCTCCCCTTTTCCTTTCCTTCCTTCCCTTCCCTCTTCCTTTCCTTTCCTTTCCTTTCCTCCCCTCCTTCTCTCCTCCTTTCCTTTCCTTCCCATTCCCTTTCTTTCTTTCCTTTCCTTCCCTCTTTTCCTTGCCTTCCCTTGCCTTCCCTCTTCCTTTCCTTTCCTCTCCTCCTCTCCCCTCCCCTCCCCTCCTCCTCTCCTTTCCTTTCCTTTCCTTCCCATTCCATTTCTTTCTTTTCCTTCCTTTCCCTTTCCTCTCTTTTATTTTTTCTTCTCCTCCTCCCTCCCTCCCCTCCTTCTCTTCCTGCCTTCTGCTCTGAAGACCATCTGCCGCGAGGCCTGTGGGCTTCCTTGGCCAGTTATTGGACAACAGGATAACAAACTGCTGGAGGAGACAGGCCAGGGATCTAATCCGACCAAGCGGGCACAACTTCTGTTGTTCTTAAAATTGCTGTTTTTGTGCTAACGCCCCCTGGCGAACGCTCCCGTGTCTGCCGTATTTATTTTTTCTCTTCCTGTGATAGGCATACAACCTTCTTGTTGTTGTTGTTGTTGAAAGCAAGCTCGACCTTCAATGGATCACAAAAGCCCCATTTAAGAGGGCTGTTTTAACGATTTTAAAATTGTGGGAACAATTTAAAGGGGGGGGGGAAGACTAAAAGGCAATAATTTAGAACAGTGATGGCTAACCTTTTTGCCATCGCGTGCCAGGAGTGGGAGGGGGGGCGGGGCAGGTTCACGCGTACGCATGCCCACACCCATAATTCTATGCGCCCCACCCTGCGCATGTGTGCGCAACCCTCCCTTCCCCCCACCCCGCTCCTGGCATGCGATGGCCTGGTAGGCCCGTTTTTCTTTCTCACCTGGCTCCAGTTCCTCTCTATGCATCTGGGGAGGGCGAAAACAGCCTTCCCCATCTCCTCGGAGGCCTGAAACGGCCCAATTCCCAACTCCTGGTTCAGGGATGGGTTCTAAATTTTTTTACTACCGGTTCTGTGGGCGTGGCTTATTTTGTGGGTGTGGTTTGGAGGTCATGTGACTAGGTGGGCGTGGCTGGCTGGTCAGAGTCATTTCTGGAAGGTCCTCGCACTTACGACCAGTCCTCGCACTTACGACCCGACTCATTTGTTTGCTTTTAACACTGATCAGCTGTAGGGCGGCCCTTTGAAGCCCCGCGGCAAGAGTTTAAACAGTTTTTTTTCCCTCTAGTCATCAGCTGGGACTCAGGAGGCAGCAATAGATTGGGGGTGGGACCAAATAAAAGGTAAGAATAACGTGGGGGGATGGGGCGGTGGGCGGGGGGGGGAGAACAGGTTCGGTGACGTCATATCTTCACCGCTACTGGCTCGGCCGAACCGGACCGAACCGGGAGGAACCCACCACTGTCCTGGTTGGACAGGAAGTGATGTTTTTTGCTGTCCCCAGCCTCCAGAGCCTCTTGATGGGGTGGGGAAGGCTGTTTTCACCCTCCCCAGATGCATAGAGAGGATCTGGAACCAGGTGAGAAAGAAAACTGGGCCTTACCCACCCCCCCGCAGGCCCTCCAGAGGCAGGAAACAGCCTGTTTCCCTACTTCTGGTGGGCCCAGAAGGCCCAAAAATCAGCTGCCCAGCACGCGCATGCGTGCCAGAGCTGAGCTGGCGTGCCCACTGATATGGCTACGCGTGCCGCCTGTGGCACGTGTGCCATAGATTCGCCAACACGGACTTAGAAGAACTAATTTCTAATGTCATTAACAGATCTTCACATTCCTGGAGAATATTCAGAAAAATTGAGGAAGGAAAAGAATGTGGGGTCCTTGGCGTTCTCTTGAGTTTGGTTGGTTTTCTTGCAGACGTTTCATTACCAAACTAGGTAACATCATCAGTGCTAGAAGGAAAGGAACGATGTATTTTTAACCCTTTCAAAAAATTAAAAAAAATGGGACCAATTGATTTTGAAAAACCATCGCTCGGGCTCATGTCTGAAACCATGAGAGTGACTTGCCAAGGAACGCAACCAGTTTGCATTTATATTATATTGGCCAGGGTGTCCAGTTGCACACAAAAATGTGACTTTTTTTATAAAAAAATTACGAAACAGCCCTGAAAAACAGATGAGTAATTAAGGCTAAGCAAGCTATAGAGCAAGAAATTGTGAGTTCAAATTCTGCCTTAGCTATGAAAGTTGGCTGGGTGATTTGGGAGGGGCAATCACCAGGAGACGGTGAGTTCCAGTCCTGTCTTAGGCATGAAAACCAGCTGAGAGACTTTAAACCACTTCTTCTCTCTCAGACCAACCTACCTCACAGGGTTGTTGTGGGGCAAAAAGGAGGAAGGAAATTATGTATGTTCACCATTTTGAATTCTGACTTAGCTATGAAAGCCAGCAAGGTGACTTTGGGCCAATCACCAGGAGACGGTGAGTTCTAGTCCTGCCTTAGGCATGAAAACTGGGTGACTGGGCCAATCACCAGGAGACGGTGAGTTCTAGTCCCGCCTTAGGCATGAAAACTGGGTAACTTTGGGCCAAACACCAGGAGACGGTGAGTTCTAGTCCTGGTTTAGGCATGAAAACTGGGTGATTTTGGGCCAAACACCAGGAGACGATGAGTTCTAGTCCCGGCTTAGGCATGAAAACTGGGTGACTGGGCCAATCACCAGGAGACAGTGAGTAGAAGTCCTGCCTTAGTCATGACTTTGGGCCAATCCCCAGGAGACAGTAAGTTCTAGTCCTGCCTTAGGCATGACTTTGGGCCAATCTCCAGGAGACAGTGAGTTCTAGTCCCGCCTTAGGCATGAAAAGCAGCTGGGTGACCACGAGCCGGTCCCTGTCTCAGCCCAGCCCACGTCACAGGGTGGTGGTTGTAGGGAAAACAGGAGGAACGTGTGTTAGATATGTTTACGCCTTGAGTTATTTGCAAAAATAATAAAGGCAGGATACAAATAAATAATAACATATGGATTGCCTGGGTTTCCAATTCCACTGGATTGCTTCAGCCCTGCACACAACTTGAGCCTTTGATTTTTGGCAACTAATAAAAAAAAACAATTTCAGTGAAGAAATGGTGTTTTTTATTTTTATTTTTATTTTTCAGTCTTGCTTCATACTTTGATTTTTCTGCTTCACCGATAGTTCTCTGAAAATCCAGAAACCTTAAGTAATGCAGACTTGGTGGCTAGTGGGTAACCTTTCGGAGTTGAAAAGGCATAATAGAAAGTTTTTGTTTTCAAAATATTTCAGGGGGAAATCTTTTCTAGAGTGTTTGAACTCTAGTTCCGGTGGCAGAAGACACATTTCTAGAAAGGCACAATTTCTGGAATGCTTATTCTGGAGGGGAAATGGAAGGAAGGGTTTCCAGATTTCAATCACAGTGTTCTTTTTTCAAACTTGGCAAATTTAATGTTTGTTTATGTTTATGTTTATGATATTTGTACACCGCCCTTCTCCCGAAGGACTCAGGGCGGTGAACAGCCAGCAGATAAAATACAAAAAAATACAAAATTTAAAACAATATTAAAATCCAATTAAATTAATTTGGCCCACAGTTAAAACACCCCTATATTAAAACCCATAATTTAATAATTTAAAATTAAAACAATTTTAAAAAGTTAGCTCAGGTCAGCCCGGCTTGATGAAACAGAAATGTCTTTAGGACACGGCAGAAAGTGCGTAGATCCGGGATCCGCCGTTTCTCCAGGGGCAACTCGTTCCAGAGGGTAGGTGCCCCCACAGAGAAGGCTCTCCCCCTGGGGGCCACCAGCCGGCATTGTTTGGCCGACGGCACCCTGAGGAGCCCCTCTCTCTGGGAGCGTACTAGTCGGTGGGAGGCTACCGGCGGCGGTAGCCTCCCACTGACTAGTACGCTCCCACAGAGAGGGGCTCCTCAGGGTGCTGTCAGGCAGTCTCGTAAATATCCGGGTCCTAAGCCATGGAGCGCTCTAAAGGTGGTAACCAATACCTTGAAGTGCACCCGGAAGACCACTGGGAGCCAGTGCAGCTCGCGTAGGAGAGGTGTTACATGGGAGCGCGGAGTCGCCCCCATAAGCACCCGCGCGGCTGCATTCTGGACCAGTTGGAGCCTCCGGGTGCTCCTCAAGGGGAGCCCCATATAGAGAGCATTACAGTAGTCCAAGCGGGCTACTTAAGATGGATTCACTTCCAACTCCCAGTATTCCCCTGCCAGCATCTGACCCATTTTTTTCCCCTTCTTAATCAAGAAATACAAATATTATACGCGAACCGAAATTGCTTCACTTTTGTGAACCTGGTGCCTTGTAATAAAATATATATATAACCCTCTGCTCTAGCAGGAAACCTTATACCAGTGATGGCTAACCTTTTTGCCATCGCGTGCCAAAAGCGTGGGGAGTATGGGGGGGGTTGCACCCACGCGGGCCCACACCCATAATTCAATGCCCCCCCCCACATCCCTGCGCATGCGACCTCCCCGTGCTACCCCGGCTTTTGGCAAGTGACAGCAAAAAGATTAACGGTGGGGCTGGTAGGCCCGTTTTTCGCCCTCCCCAGGCTCCAGAGGCTTTCTTGGCATCTGGGGAGGGTGAAAACAGCCTACCCCATCCTCCCAGAGGCCCTCCGGAGCCAGAAACGGCCCGTTTCCCGACTTCCGGTGGGCCCAGAAGGCCGAAAAATCAGCTGGCCGGCGCGCACATGCGCGCTGGAGCTGAGCTAGGGCAACGCTCACATGCCCACAGATATGGCTCCGCGTGCCACCTGTGGCACCCGTGCCATGGGTTCGCCATCAGGGTCCTATACCATTTCAGACAAATGGTTGTCCAATCTCTTCTTTAAAACCTCCAGTATTGGAGCACCCACAAATTCTGGAGGCAAGTAGTTCCACTGATTAATTGTTCTGTCAGGAAATTCCTCCTTAGTTCTAAGTTGCTTCTCTCCTTGATTAGTTTCCATCCGTTGCTTCTTCTCCTGCCTTCCGGTGCTTTGGAGAATAGCTTGACTCCCTCTTCTTTGGGGCAGCCCCTGAGATATCAGAACACTGCTATCATGTCTCCCCTAGTCCTTCTTTTCATTAAACTAGACCTACCCAGTTCCTGCAACCGTTCTTCATACGTTTTAACCTCCAGTCCCCTAATCATCTTTGTTGCTCTTCTCTGCACTCTTTCTAGGATTTCAACATCTATTTCAACTCCCAGAATTCTCTGCCCAGGGTTCTTTAAAGATCAGTGGACTCTTCAATGCTCAGCATTTTCCAGCCTGACTGCTTTAAGATGGGTGGATTTAATTGTAGGCTGGGGAATTTTGGAAGTCCAGCCATCTTAAAGCAGGCTGGCTGGGGAATTCTGGGAGTGGAAGTCCAGCGATCTTAAAGCAGGCTGGCTGGGGAATTCTGGGAGTGGAAGTCCAGCCATCTTAAAGCAGGCCGGCTGGGAATTCTGGGAGTGGAAGTCCAGCGATCTTAAAGCAGGCCGGCTGGGGAATTCTGGGAGTGGAAGTCCAGCGATCTTAAAG